CGTTATTGTTGAGGTGGCTAGGGCCGTTTTTTCCAGCCACTACGGCATGCGCATTAAAATTGTCCCTCACTATGAGGGACTCTGTATTTGGCACCTTGGACGGAGCACACTCCACTTCCTCAAGGAAGGCAACATATCCTCCCTCTGAGTTTGGCGCATAGATCTGTAGCAGGGTCGATGGATTGTCCTTTACTGCTTCTGATGGAGATGTGCCACTCTTACGCTGAAATGTTTCCATCAATGATTCTGTTACCTACGTTTGGTTCTACCAGAGCACCAACACTGGCCTGAGTGCGCATCGTGATATCGATACCTGAGTAGAATAGCTTTCACCCGTAAAGGTGGTTCAGGATTCCAGAACTGTGGCGCTTCGTTGACGAGAGTCCAACAATGTGGCGCTGGTTCTTTTTGTCCTCATCAGCCAACTCTTGCTCTTTCCCTTTGAGTGGGGATATATTCCAATTTCTGACTGTAAGCTCCCACTGTGGGTATTGTCCTGGTGGGCTACATCAGATGTGCTACAGTAGCATCCCGCTGTCAACCTCCTCAGTTCACAACGGTTAGCGACTTCGTCGTCTCTTCGTCTATGTTCGGCAGCTGATATTGTGCCGCAACGTCCCCGAGTGGCATAAGGTGATGAGTAGGTCCTGATCGTCAGATGTTCGCAGCCGCAGCCTGCCTTCATTCGCAACAGCCTCTGCGGTCCTTGGTAGCTCGGACAACGGTCGCACCAGTATAATCTTCGATGGTGTCAATACCATGAACGGCAGATGGATAAGTTCAACGGAGGTATCGCCCGTTCTCCAACCCTTCTCCTTTCTACTCCGGGCTTCGGATCATCAACGACTGAGTTGAGATGAAATATGATTATCAGAAATCGAGTTGAGTGCGCATACTTTATTCACAGTATCTGTAAGTTGCACAAGAAGCCAGCGTCAGCAGAATGTATGATACATAGAAAACAAAGAATTGCTGCTCGCCTCGAATTCGTGGACCAGTGCTTTAAAATAAAAAAACTGATAGACTAGATGACGTAAAATCGAAGTAGTATAAGTACAATACTTGCACGACAGGGGTGTAGGTTTGACTACGAAGATGCCATGCAAGCATTGTGAAAACATTCAATGTTAGATTGGATTGTTAAGTAATTGTTAAATAATCCGACCCGTTATATGTGTAATGACTTACGATCAGTACAGTTTAGACAGAGTGATACTACTGCGAACCTCACTGATAAGTACAACCCTTATGGCTACTTGAGTTGGATGGGCTTCATAGCTTAAATGCTTTTTGGTGCTTCATGAATGTCAAACCACAGTGAAACCCGTACAGGGTTAAAAAAGGCTCAAGAAAGGTCTAATTGAAAAAGTAAAATCAGAGACTGCCCAAAAAACCAAGTTAAAAAAGTCGTCATACCGGGCGTCTTCGATCATTTGTCAGAAAATTGTTAGATAATTTCCCTAAGATTTCGTCGTATAGGAATACGAATTACGCCCTCTGCTGATTATCACTCCATATACTCAGCTGTCAGATGGATCAAAGCAGACTGCAGTCTTTAAGTGGACACATCATAAGACGTGGCTGCAATCCTCGCATCGTTTCATATGATCGCTTCAAAACACCATACTGGGCCTACTATTCGCAGGTCAATCACCTGCTCCTCATTTCCTGGCTGGTTTGCAAAGAAACAAAGAAGTGGGGGTGAATTTTTGCAGAACTTGAGTGTTATTCCTTCGAAGTTCCAAGACAGAACCCTAGCCCTGATTTGCTAGAAGTTTTAATTGGGAAAGTGTTTTACGATTTTTACCTTTTTGAAGATTGGCAGACATTAGTACTTTGCTCTTGATCAAGCAGAACCTGAGCATCCGGCTTCTTCACGAGTAACATAGAGACGCTAAGGAACGGGTTTTCGAAGTACCCTTGAATTGATACTATACTCTGCTGACTGCCGTAGCCGCGACATGAACCAAACCAAACCAAACCTCATTATGGCGAAGCTTCTGTAAAGGGATTTTATCAGTTTTTTGTTAACGGACTGAAGCAAAGAGGACCAGTTTGATGAAGTGTATGTTTTGGGCGGAAAAGCTTTTTTTTGCATAATAGATTATTAATGCTGTAACTTAAAGTACTTCTCAAGTAAGATGGTATTTTCTCTTCCTCTATAAAGACAGCGTGTCAGATACTTGAAATAAGAATTGCTTGAAGAGTCATTTTTAAGGGAAGTCTCTGAGTGAATCGAGCTCAATGAATTGTCAGCGCTTGTCAAACAGCTTCACAGAAAAACAGATATTTACGATCAGTTGACCAAAGCAGAATGCATCTTATTGTTGAGTTCAGCGTGATTCTTCATTTCAAAATGTTGATCGAGTTTCTGGCATCGGTTTGTTGTTTAACACTTGTCGTTTAGTGCGGCGAAGGTTGGGAGCTTCGAGCTGTTGGGAGGTAAACTTCTGTAATCTGATAGTGATTACAGGAACGTGTGAGCACAGCGTTTGTGCGTCTACGAGACGACCAGAGAGCCGAGAACACTGAAGAACGAAGAAACAGACGTTCCGAAGAAAGTTGGAGAAATTTTTCCATTTTCGCCTTATTCTCCACGACTGATATCCATCAGTTGACGGATATGCGAAATCTTTTGGTCAAAGAAGAACTTCGTTCGCTCGGTCGTTCGGCTGCCTCCTCGGTGGCTGTGGCTGGCCGGTGATGACGGCTAAAGAGTTTTTATTGGCGACGACTGCTTATAAATATTTATGACGTCGCGTCGTCACCGCTTGACAGCCGGGTAGGTCGAACTGCTGCTGAGACGGCGACAGCTTCCGCGACAGCAGTGGTGGATATTTGCCGCAAATATCATCGCGATAGCTGACGACGACCTGGCGCTGACGTTTCAAGCTAGCGATGCTTGCCACGTCGCAATCGCCGCACTTATACTCTTCTTCATTTGAACTCGTATCAGCCGCCCTCAGAGGTTTTCTTCTGCTAATATGCAAACGCAGCGAGGCTTCGCACCGCGGCTCACCATACCCTCTGCCATATTCTAACACCACAACCTTGTTACCTCCATATTCATAACTTTTTTAAAAACTTTTTTCGTTTTAAACAGATGTGACACTACACTGCGTTACATGGTTGCCCCTGCTGATGTCTGTGTTTACGAAGACCGCTTGCGGTTTAACGAGGAGAAAGGCTGAATATATACACTTTCAAAATAGCTGCCAGAACTCACTGGCTATCGGCAAAAACGCGACATCTTCAGAGACATTCGTGTTTCTATAACGCTCTGCACGAGGAATTCAGATAAATTCCTTGTTTAGGCTAAAAATTGCTGAGTTCGTTGATTGAGTCAAAATTCCGAGAACAACGTACACAATTACCGTGAGGTTTGGACTGCATTTGTAATAAATTTCCTGATGGGTCGCTACAACCTCAGAGTTTAGAACTGCTTGTTGGCTAACTATCGACTTCAACATAATGAACGACTGGTAGCAAAACCACAGTCATTTGCGCTTTCTGACAAATCGAGTTGCACATGACATCAGTATGACAAGATTTCTTTCACGACGGGAGCGATTCCTGAAAAATCCCCATTGAGGTAAGTAAACCAAAGTGATGTTTGATTTAATATCTCATTGAACTTTCTCATTAGCAAAAAATTAACCGCATGATGCTTCAGGGCAACCAGCCGATAAACGAGTATTAAGTTAGCGACTTCGGAAAAATATGGATAGCATGGTATTCTGACCTGGCCATGCCGAATGGACGAGATGCAAGGTCATACTATCCGATACGAGAGCTCCCTGTAGCTGCATTGACCCATCTGATAGCTGATTATTCAGCACAAAATGTAACCCCAGTTATTATTGTTATTATAATTATTTCATGAAATTCCTTTAAGGCGTAAAATTATATCGAATCGAGGCACGGACCATGGCATATAAAGTCCTGAAGCTCATGTTCTACGAGAAGCTAGAGTACCCGCTGATTATTCACCTATAGCGCTTAGCCTTTGAGTGAAATATTGTTATTAAGCCCCATGCCAAGAGGTGACTATTCTCTTGACAATAACTCAAGTTCAAAGAAACCGAGGTTTCTGTGCCTACAAGCATTTTAGACGACCATCAAGAACAACAACACATAAATCGACAATTTTGGTAAGCAGCAAAACCTGATAACAGTGAGGCAGCTAATGAGTTTTTGAGAGAGTTAAGCGTTTGCCAAAAGATTCTGTTGCACGAACCCGGAGTTTCGATGTACAAGCGGCAACATATAACGAATAGCAACACTCAAGCTTCAAATATTTGGGTAGTCGTTGCCCGCTAGATAGATTGAGTAAACTAGTAACAAGTATCGATCCAATATGCCATGTCATTCAGTGCTGAATGAATTAAGCGACTGTTGAAGCAGTAACGAAGACTGAGTTAATAGAGAAAAATGTTCTTCGCACGGCTATGAACGATTTAATTTTTTTCCGTATGAGCGTATATGTTTTATTGGTTAAGAAGTGCTTAGTTCCATCGGTAAAATGTTCTTAATATGCGATCTGTTCGGTCTTCCATTTAATTAAAAACCTCTTACCTCTCCAAGATCAGATACAGTTTCTGAAGAATGCATGGTCAGATTTTTAATTACTTGGAACGTTACGAAATCAGTACGACCTCCATAACGGGAACGAGAAACAGCACGAAGTCTCTTCAGCTTGCCAATGCGATTATCCCAAACAAGCCGCAGTGCTTAAGGAGATAGGAATTGCCCCTGGACGGTAGAGAATCCAACGGAAATCACACGATTGCAGAGTTTGACCATAGACTCCATTACCTGGCTCAAATTTTGGTCTAAATCATTAGTTGTGACATATGAATGATGCCGATATTTCATACAGATGGTATCAGCCCTTTCATATACTGAGTACTCATTCAGGTTTGACATGAAAAATGAATGAAATGTGCGCATTAGGGTAAAGATAAACCACTGAAATAGAGAATGATTAGTTTATTTAAGTATAAGCTGATTGGCCATATGGTTTACCAGTCGGTCAACGGTTAATTCACAATAAACATGAATCAAGCAAAAATCTTAAAACGTTGGTTATAAAGTTCCCACTGAACATAAAGCTCTTTGCCATGCTTCGGATTGCGAAAGTATCCCCCCATTTCAGGGGTCATACTGACCACAATTTTATATCAGAAAAAGCGTTAGCGAATACTGCCCAGAAGAATCAACAAAGCTGCGAACAAGAAATAAAATTATCATTTTAGGGGAGGAGGTGCCTGGCTCATAGCCTCCATGCAAAAACGTAGATTACTCTAAACCTTTCACACACCGTGAAAGGTAACGACTTTCTCATAGCCCATGCCGTTATGTGGTAGAACATAATGAATGCCATCGTCAGTTCTCAGCACTCTGATTTTTTACACATAACACCAACTTAGGTTTGTTCTTGAAACTCCAGAGTACAGCAGTAGTTAGACCGGTGTTTTCACGTCATGCAATTTGATAGCCTTATTTTCGTCAGCCTGGGTGTGATTTCACAGTCTAGTATCGCTTGGGGCGTTTCTAAAAGTGTCACGTCGAAATTCGTCATTAAAATTAGCTGTTTTCGACCCATTACTGAATGAAGGCATAGGGTCTTTGAAGCATTTTCGAATTTTTTTATTTTTTTGTGAAGAGAACAATGCAAATCATGTTGCAAGTGCAAACTTCTTGAAAAATGTTGACTCTTCACATCTTCCAATGTATTCGTCTAAGGTTAATTTTCAGTATGTCTTCATTGCCCAAGCGTTACTGACCATGTGTTGGTCTGTCTTCAACAAGTCAACAGGTCAAACGATGCAATCTGTTTAGAGTAAGTACGAGTCCATCACTCGATCGTTCGCTACCTCTGATCCGGTTTGTGTCCTCTCCACGATGATCGAGGCAATTCAGGTGTCACCCTCTCGTTCTTAACGGCCCGGCCATGGCGACACACCTGTGCGGCGACCGCTAACTAGCCTCTGGCGACGTTGATCAATGCGTGTGCACTTTTTGCTGTCGGCGATTGGCGCTGGCAAGCTTTTTATGCGGTCGTCGTGGCCATCGTTCGGCGGTTCGTTTCCATCGTGCGTCACGACATCCGTCAGTCGAGGTTTTGTGACCTTCCTGTCGTCGTGGTGGCCATTCGTTTTAAGGTCGAGGCCCCGTTGAGACGGTACCTCAGACCGTCTGAAGTCCGATGTCATTCTGAGCAGTCGAGTGATTTGCCTACGACGGCCATCGGTCCTCGACTCTATGCAAATCAAGCGTACGCGTCGGCGATGACCAGAATGTCAAGGGGCGTGTCACCCAATAGGCGGGGCTCACACTGTAGCCGTCACCCATTGGCCAACTATGTTTCAAATCCTAAATGGCGAGTACTGTAGGCAGTTCGGCCGGACTTTTGGGTTTACGGTTTGTGATCATTGTGCGTTGCATTTGATCTCTGTGCTAGGCAAAACAGAGACATCGCTACCCTCTCGACACGGACGCCGCTGTTCCACTCTCGGCGCCTGAGGCGCCGAACATGAGGAGCGCTCTCGGCGTGCAAAGCGCCGTGCGACAAGTCTGCCGTCTGGTGGCGGACGGCAAGGCGATGTCGCCGACGCATGTCGGTCGCTCGCTGTGCGTCCGTCCATTGTCGTTTCTGCGCCGCCACAGCAGCTGCCGGCGCGTGCTGGATTGCGTCATTGGTGGTCAAGCACGACCGGTATCTTCGTCGTGTCCCCCCTCATTTGCTACCTCGTCACCGGGTCATGCTGTCGTCGTCCTCATCGTCGAAACTCGGCACCCACCCATTTTTCGCCCTCGGTCCTGTGGCCGCCCCAGTGCCTGCCGTCGTCACCAAGCCACCGCCACCACCACCGCAGCCGGACAAGAAGGTGAGCATCCCTGTCCCGACTGGACACTGACCCTTTAGGTCTTCCGGTCATTATTTTTTAGTGTCACATGTCGCCACCGATTGACGTCGTCGCTGTTTCAGGTGTCGTGTTCGTCGTCGCTGCCGTCCTGGACTCTGTTCTGCACGGTGGCAGGGTGCGCGTGCAACGAGTTCCTGCCCAATCACGCCAACAGCCGTATATGCGACTTCTGCCACCACGGTTGGGTGCTACACGGTACGTATGCGGCCTGTTAGAATTGGTTCTTTTCTCACTAATCGCTTTGGCCGCGATCCGCCTAGGAGGTGGCCCATTGCAGCTCGAGGGCGGTGTCTGTGGCGGTGTGCGTTATTTTCGAAAGCAGTTGCTGTTACGATACTTCGTTCAAAACGATACCTGGCTGCCTATTGCCCGGTGCCGCGTGCTCTCTTCTCTTGTCACTGCGGTAGGGTCACACTAGAGCAAGATCCTCACTACCTCGCCCTCGTCCACCTCTCACCCCCGCTCCCTCCCTCTCGATCGATCGCTTTAACGAATGGGTCAGACACCGCGTCGAGTCGAGTGCTCCAGTGTTCTGCTCTGGTGGTGGAGAGCAGCTTGCTGATTGCGTGTCCGTCCGATTCGCCGCCGATCCTACGTCGTTCGTCAACAGCGCACAGGAATAGTTTAGTTGTTTTTAGCGTGTTAGGTTCACATTTGTCTTTCTTTTTTCCGTAGCCAAAATGCCACTGCCAGCGCAGCTGGAAGAAGATCATCATCGTCACCACATCAGATCAAAGAGTTAACACACGAAGAGAGTGAGTGAGAGCGATGGGGCAACGGCGTCGACTGCTGCCATCGCCGCCGGCGCGTCGCTCGGTCCGGCGGCCGACAAATTTCGTGTGCGCATCACTCTGTCGCCTCCTTTACCTTTTGCTCTCTGTTGCTGTCTTCCATGTGTTCCTCTTGTCCTTGAGGTTGTCCCCCCTTCCTCTGCTCCTCCGGCTGGCTGTTTTCT